AGATGGCGGATAAAAAACAAAAGAGGAAAACGTCTGCGGAACAAAAGAAGGCTTAAGGCAAGAAGTAGGACCCGGGTAAATATCGGATCAGCTTTCCAGCGCTGGAGAAAACTCAAGGAGCGTATGGCCTGCGATCGGATGGCGAGGTTGCTTTGTTTCTTCTCGATCGGTGAGTATCACCGTGTCTGCGCCGCAACAGCTAAAGTCTGTCTAGTACACTGGACGCGACAAAGCGACCGTTGAAAATCATTTGAAATTTGTGTCAATACGTCATGAATGGAACGCAGCAGCAGTTTTGCTTTGTTTCACAGAACTAATCGTTGCCTGGATTGCACGTATGTGTGGGGCGGAGCTATCAAAATCGGGGCGAGACCCTTTTGGGGTAGGGGCGTGTTTGTTTTGGTGATTTCAAATGTCAACATTGGCTACCAGAAATCGCTTACCCCACCTTTAATAGAACGTTCGTTCAAAGTTATCTGATCTTTAATAATGTTCTCAAAACATTAAAACAAAAACATTATTTATACATCATTCATGGAATGTTTTTTTCCCCCCCAGATATTATAGGTTGGATGTTTGTCTAACATTTTTTTAAATGTTACTACTTGTTTCAGAACATTCAAAAGTAACGTTTCCATAATGTTTGCAAAATTCTAAAGTGGAATGTTCTCTTAATGTTCACATAAGGGGAATTATTTTTTTTTAAGTTTAAAAAACTGGACCTTTTTTGAACATTCAGAAATAAAATTTTCATAACCTGGGAAAATAACAGTAGCCTATTATAATCGCAAAATTCAACAGTTACGAATCAAATTCAATTTCAGATGTAAAGCAGCTCTACAAAAGACAATAATGTCAATCTTCAGCTCAATTTAGTTCAACCGTGATTCAGTTCAGTTCATCAAAGTTCATCAGTTATGAAAGAAATGAAATTTCACAATAAAGCAGCTCTACAGAAAACAAGCGTCACCCAGTTAACAAAAATATTGTTTTCGCTATCGTTCCAAATAATTAAGTTAAGAAATGTTATTTCTGAATCTTTAAAATGACCAGTTTTTAAATGTTTTGAAAACGTTTATTCTTGGTTATGTGAACATTAATGGAACGTTCCATTTGAGCATTTTGCAAACATTATGGAAATGTTACTTTTGAATGTTCTGAACATTCTGAAACAAGCAGTAACATTTAAAAAATGTTACATTTGAAAAAACAAAACAAAACATGAATGATGTATAAATAATGTTTTTGTGCTAAAGTTCTGAGAACGTTCCCTCGGTTTAGTTTTGTTCTCATCCAATAGTGTCAGTGCAGTTAAACTGATAATATCACTGAATATTAAACATCTTTTAAAAGAAGCACCAGAATACAAATGAACTCCTGACTGACTCAGATTGATTCAGTGACGTTCAGCAGATTATGAATGATTCTGCAGAGCCTCATATCTGATATCTGATGAAAGTTCAGTCTGATGTCTTGTTCAGTCTGTGTTTAGCGAGTGATGAGTTTAGTTTGTGTCTGATATCATGCAGACTCATTCAGCACGACACCGCTGGAATATTAACACGTCTTTTGTTTTTTTTGTATTGAATCTAAATGGAGATCTCATGTATCTCTCAGTATGGAGCGGCTGATGGCTCTGACAGCTCAGGAGATTGCAGAGCTCAGCACAACTCAATAACCGAATAAAGTCAAGTGTATGAAGAGCTAATAAGAGCTGAGCTATTGATCGCTCCCTTCATTCAACCAGAGATGCTGTTTAGCACATTAAACACTGCAGACGAACAACACAGATGAAAGTTTTAGTGCTCAGCAAACTTCAGTTTCTCCTACAATTCCTTGAGAAATAAAAACAGACACAAGCGAGTCAATACAGAGCTGTTCTGAGCTTGATAGAAACTGATGACTCATATTAAAAGCTCTTGATTACACATATTGCACGTCTCAGCCATGATAGTTTGAGAATAGTTTGAATATAGTTTGAGACATTGTTGAGATCTCTAGTATTATCGAGATACTATTACAGTTTTTATTCATATTTTGAATGATTTTGAATTCTTACAGTTTTTGCCACATTTATTATTTTGTACACACACACACACACACACACACACACACACACATATATATTTGGTCTATGTAGTTCATTAATTAATTTAATTAATTTGTATTTTAGTTTGAGTTATTTTAGTACATCAGATTAGACTAAATTAAAATGAAAAATGTTATTTTTATTTTCTGCATTCATGTTCATTTTAGTTAAGCTTTTAGTAATTGTTTTGTGTGTCTGTCAATTTTATTAGGTTTTTTTTTTTAGTTATTTTAGTACATCAGTTACACTAAATGAAAATCAGAAATTTTACATTGGAAACAGTTTTTTACATTTTTTTCAAGGAACAAATATTTTTATTTAATTTATTAATTTATTTATGTATTTTTTGTTTTGTTTAACTTAACTATAACCAGCTGAAATCAAAAGTTTTCTAATATTTTATTTTATTCAGTTAACGTTTATTTTACTTCAAGTAACAATTTTTTAATGGTTTTGGTTTCAGTTTTAGTCAACTGTAATAACCCTGATCTCTAGAAGAGGCATGCGAGACATGGTTAATGTACAAAGTGTCACAGAAACATCAAATCCTTATTGAATATTGGGTTTCGTTCTGAAATCACAGCATACTACAGAAGTAAATGTGTTACAAATGCTGTTTAATGTGCCTTAGAATCTCCATTTGCTCTCCATTTAATCTCATTCGTGTCTTTGAGAATGAGTTGAGATATTATGTGAATTTTCTTTGTAAATATCACAGCATATTGCACAACAGCGTGGGCCGCACCTCGTACAGAAGGCTGGCGTCCTCCGCTGATTTCTGAAACGTGGGGTTGAGCAGCGCTGGCGTCCCTCGCTTCACTCTGAAGGCTGATGGGAACAGAGCTGAGAGACAGAGAGGATCATGGGTAATGTGTTACGTGACTGATCACACACATAAAATCCAGCTGAAAGTTCTTTGGTCAACAAGTGTTGCTGGTTTATATTCTTTACAGTGATTCACTCCTGCAGTGCAGTCGCCTCAAAATAACTTTCTCAGATTAAAGCAAACGTTAATGTTCGGACTCAAGCAGGCGTTTGAGAGGGTTGTTTACGTCGGAGTGGCTCAGTTTAATGAAAAAACCTATGGTAAAAAAAACAGTAGCTGTGGTTGCCAGAACTTTACCTCGAAAAATACAATAACAACATTTTAAGTTTTACAGACTGGCTATATTTCATTAATCGAAATAGTGTACGGATACGTTGTTTTCGTTCAGATCAAAGCGTAAACGATGTATCCGCGTGACGCAGCTGACACAGAACAGCATACGCAATTTACGTTCAGTGGATACTCTCTAAACTGGCGCTAGTAGGGAGGAGACAAATTGTTGAAAAAAGTAGTTTTTTTTTCTTTTGCGCACAAAATGTATTCTCGTAGCTTCGTAAAATTACGGTTGAACCCCTGATGTCACATGGATTATTTTACCGATGTCCTTGTTACGTTTCTGGACATTGATCGTGTAAGGACCCTTGCTGTCTACGGGAGAATTCATCAAAAATATCTTAGTTTGTGTTCCGAAGATGAACGAAGGTCTTACGGGTTTGGAACGACACGAGGGTGAGTAATTAATGACAGAATTTTCATTTTTGGGTGAACTGTCCCTTTAATGTGGGAAGAGAAACTCGCTGGAACGACAGACTTGATCCAAAAACAAGTTGAATTCGACGGGAGCCGGTCACGTGTTCGATCCGCTCAGGACGTCGCCAACATCACAGACATTCCACATCTGTTTGGACCGATCAGCTGCAGATGTGTGTCCTCAGACTCTCACCTTCAAAAACCTGATCCTCCTGCTCTAAACTGATCTTTGAAGCCTCATAAACACAGTGAACATTCTCCTCGTGACCGTCACAAATGAGACGCGGGCGTCTCTTCACGAATACATCCAGCTGTTTTTCTGAGGAAAACACTTAATAGTTTTCTCAATTAGTGTCAGTGTGTCTTTAAAGATAAACCACACACTCGCATGAATAGCCTATATTTCAAATGTCTGCATGCAGCAGGATTAACACTTTCATTCAGGACACATTCAATTGATCAAAAGTGACTGTAAAAACCTTCATAATGGTTAGATTTCTATTTCAGTGAATCATTTCCAAATATTCTGCAGCACAAGTGTTTTCAGCATTGATAATTCTCAGAGATGTTTCTTGAGCAGCAAATCAGCATATTATTATGATTTCTGAAGATCATGTGACA